TTTTTTATCATTGTGAACAATTCACCATCGAGGTTAACTTCCTTCTATTTTGAGGTCGCAATATCAAGCGAAGCGAAGACGTTTTCGAGGATGTCTGAAGCGAAACCAGCAATTGTTGGAGGCAACCTCAAGCGAAACAATTCATTTTCCAAGGATGTCCAAAGCGGAACCAACAATTCTTCGAGGATGTCTCCAGCGAAGCGAGAGACTTGTCGACGAGAGACTTCCTCCTCCTCCTCCTCCTCCTCTCTCGTGTTGTTTTGTTTTTTTCTTGTTTTTTTTTTCTCTCTCTCTCTCTCTCTCTTTCTCTTTCTTCGTCTCCGTTTCTCTCTCCCTCTCTCTCTGTCTTTCTCCTTCTCCCCCTGGCCCCCTTGAGTTGTTTTTTTGTTTTATGTTTCCCGCTGTGATTTACTATCCAAGGAAACCGAGGCACATGAGGCACCCTACACGAGCAAATGAAAATCTGAATTCCCATTGATTACTTACAAATAAATTTAATAGGTTTAGAACGTTGATATTTCTCTTCCTCCTCCCCCTCCTCCTCCTCCTCCTCCTCTCTCTCTCTCCTTCTGTCTGTCTATATTTATCTACTTCTCTGTCTCACTCTCTCTCTCTGTCGAACTATATGTATCCTTTTGTCTCTGTCTCTGTATGTTTTCCTCATTCTCCCCCTGGCACCCTGCACTTGTTTTCTATCGCTGTGGTTACTTTCCACGGAAACCGAGGCACCTAAACTGCCCTATACGAGCAGATGAAAATCTGAAATTTCCATTGTTTGTTTACACATTAGATTACACATTAAATTTAATAGGTTTGGAACGTTGGCGTTTCTCCTCCTCCTCCTCCTCCTCCTCCTCCTCCTCTCTCCTTCTGTCTGTCTATCTTTATCTACTTCTCTCTTTCTTTCTCTCTCTCTCTCTCTCTCTCACTATCTGTGTATTTCTGTCTCTGTCTCTCTCTGTTTTCCTCCTTCTCCCCCTGGCACCCTGGACCTCGATCCTCGATCTTCGATTTTCGACCCTCGGACCTCGATCCTCGATCCTCGGACCTCGCCGCCGTCGATCCTCGGACCTCGATCCTCGACTCTGGGATCTCGAGCCTCGATCCTCGGACTTCGATTCTCGATCCTCGATCCTCGGCTTTCGGTCCTCTTAACATCATCTCTTTCTCCTCCCACATGCTGGCCTCCGGTAGGCAACATTTATAATCCCCACGCGACCCCGAACTTTAGTATCCCTGTGGGATTAATCTCCGTTGTGCATGGTTATACAAGAAAGAGCCTCTCGTGGCAACCTTGATCATGCAAGCATGACCAAAAATATCCAAACTTCCGGTCTCGACGCGGGCGCGGGCGGGCAGCTATGCCTCGCGGAACAGGCGAGGCGCTGGAGACCGTCCTTTTCCTCGCGGCGGGCATGCCTAGGAGGCTGGTGAACTTGGGCTACATGGGGTGCCGTGGGACACGGGCATTGCAGGCCGCAGTGCTACTAGATAGACCCGCCCCCCATAGACGTAATCCCCAGGAGCCGCTCCTTCAGTCCGGCCAGCGCTGGGGCCCGCAGTTGCCCGGCCGCGCCCGCCCCGAGCCCAACTCCACGACGCCGCCCGCGTCTGGAAATCTCGAAGCGTCTCACTTCAATACCTGCCTCAAAGCAAAGAGAAGCGGATAACGCACAACGTGCGCGGCAGCCTATGCCCCGCCGGCTTAGCCCCATTTTCGCGCGCCCAGTCCGCGACGCGCTGGGCGACGCACCCCGCGGCTTCCCTGGTCGCCGGGGGACGGGCAGCTGGCTCATCACTGAGAGAGTTGGGGCCAAGAACCTGCTGAAGTTTGACGCTGAACTGCGCGCGCCGACTGACCCAGCTCGGAAAAAGAATGGCCCCAGAGGGAGACGTGCAGGCGAACGACAAAAATGCCGGGCAGTGATCCTATGGGGCCCCGAGGTCCGCGATAGGCCAGATGGCCCCCTGTGCGCGGTCATATATGTAATGCATCTTGCGCGGCAATCGCAATGCGCATCCGATCCAGACGGGCAAAGGGCGCCTGCGGAGCAGCTCCCTCGTCGCCGTCCGACCGCCAAACAATCTGTTTGTGCGTCGCGTTCCTGCGCGACCTCGCCAAGCTGGCCGAACGCCGCCAGAAAGTGGTTCGCAAGCCAGGGGCTGACAAGGCCATCCGTGCCCGTGCGGGCGTGATGCCGTGATTCGCCAGTAGCAATATAATTCAAATCTCACAAGACAAACCCAAGGGATTCAGACGGAGCAAGGAATGCACGTTGGACGCAAGAAAAGATTCACCAGACTTCCCCTGCAGGCCAATCAGGAACCACTTGAACAATATCTAACAAGCCCCGCGCGGCCCTGGAGGAAAGGGGGCAACGCGACCCCTTGCAGGCGCGTCAAAACGAGCGGCAGAAGATTTGGCCACCAACAAAGGCTGATTCGCAAAAGAGAAATAGATGAGACGCGTAATGTTTTCCAATTGCTCAAGGTCTATTTCAATTTCACTGCCATGAGACCCCTGAATGCACACCGCATCATGCTTGTCAAGCAGGTCTTCGGGCGCCTCAGTTAATACCGAACCACCTCGCAGTCGGTAAACACCGACCCCAGAAGAGTTGGGACATTCCACGAGCATGCACTTCGCCGCTGACACACGGCGCACCGACGCTTAAGGTTGGGGGGGGGGAGGGGGACTGATTCCCCGGCACAGAATTGACAGCTGCTGCCACAACAACCACTACTAACAACTTGCGATGCGCACGCCTTCGACACGGAGGCCAACGGGACAGAGCTGCTGGACCCAGGAGGCGACCCCGCCGCATCACGAGGAACATCGCGCTCTGCATCCCTGTGCTCTTTGCGAAGATGCTCGCGCTGCGCAACCTACAGCTGCGCGCGTGCGTTCTCGATGATTGATGAAGCCGTCTCCGCTCCGGTACCCCACTCAGTCGACTGCTCATGGTTGGGAATCAACTCTAAGTCAGATCTTGACATGTCCTTCGCAGCCAGGATCTCCCGGACGTCCTCCTCACTCCTGATGAGAAACACCCCCTTTGAACCCGTTCGCTCCGAAACAGCAGCTCGGGCTCCACCTGGGGCTCTTCTGAAGCTCGTTCGGGGGAGGCCCGGAGATGCCATTAAACGCGCGCTGCCTCCTCCTCGCGCCCACTGGAGACCGCGCGACAGCGAATGGGCGCGTGCCTCTGAGCGCGGGCATCGTGGCACTCGTGGCCGCCGTCCTCGCTGCACCTCTGCCGGGAGTTCTCGGCAGCGGCGCTGGAGGGACATGTCAACTTGTAGCTCTGAGAAATGCCGTGGACACATGGCCCACTCCTTGCAATAGGTGGCCATATCGAGCAAGCTCCGCCCGTGGTAGTGCTTCTCGCGCGCCTTCTTCAACGGCGGCCTTGTGAGCCTGCCTAGGAAACGGACCCTGGCATCGGCGGGGGCTTGCCTCGACGGACTACCACCGCCACTTCCGCCATGATGCGCTACTGTCGTCCATCCTGTCTGAAGACCCAGCCGTTGACGCAGGCACTGAATTGACCTGGAGCGCAAAGAGCTGCCCCTGCACGATGTTCACCTTGTCGTTCACCGCCAAGGTGACTGTCTCTGAGATGGACGCGAGTGAACCTTCCCGGCCTCCGTAAACCGAGCACGTTGGCTATGACAGCTGTGATCCTGATCATACGGTACCGAACGAAAATCCTGCATTTCTTGGGCCACCGACTGTTCCATCCTCGCAATGTTACCGCCCATGCCGCGAACCTCATCCATCATCTCCTGCATCCAAAATGGAGGGCGATCATCACGAGCTGGGTCGCCCGTGCTCCTGTTGCGACTGTCCCACCCTTCCGAACTGCTGTGGTCGCGACGATCACGACGTTGGCTCCTCGGCATGGGTACGGTCCTCCTCGATGGGCTGATGCTGAGCTCCGCGTCCGAGCGGCACTTACGATCCGAGCGAGTCGTGCGAGAGCTGCCAATCGCCGAGTCTTGCGAAGAGTTGCCCATCGCTAGACTTGAAAGACACACAAAGACAACATGCGTGTCTGGCGGCGACGCTGGGAGGAAGAAAACAACGAGTTCCACAATGCCGAGTGCTTTGGCGCACGACTTGGGTGCGAGGCCGAAGCTCTCTGGACGCTTGGGCCACCCCCCGGCAGTGTCCAAGTTCGAAGCGCCAGGGGCGCACGTTTCAAACGTGAGCCAAAATGGCTACGGATGACAAAAGGAGGAGGAGGAGGAGGAGGAGGAGGAGGAGGAGGAGGAGGGCAAGACGGAACAAAAAGGAGCAGGAGAAAGGACAGCAGCACAGGCCAGCCATGAGGAGCAACATCGGGCGCGCAGAAGGGGCACGCAGGAGGAGTGCCTTCCCCTCTGGTCAGGCCACCTCATTCTTCAAGCAGTTCCCTGCCCCGGCTGAAAGAGTGCAGCACCAAGTGTGGACTCCAACGCACATCCGAGGACCTGCTTCCAGTCGTCTCCACTTCGAGGGCCATCGTATGAAACAACGTGTGGGCCGGGTCGCTTGATGCCGAGCGGGGGCTGAGATGCTTACGTCGTTCCTGGGCCGAGGCGGTCTCGCTGGGGCGGGCTGCTCGAGGCAGGAAGGCGGCGGGGGCCTCGGCCAGAAAGCGAGAGGTGCTGGCCGCCGATCCCCCCCTTTTGATTGGGTTCGCCCCTTTCTTTTCCCGCATGCGTGGGGTCCCTCCCCCTTCGCCGCTCAAGTATGTGCCTCCTCGTCCACGACGTCCCCACTTCTCGTTCATGTGTTCCTCCTAAATTCTGCCCTCCTCCCTCTCCTCCCCCCGTCTCCGTCTCATCCGAATCCTCGCCCGTATCCTCCAAATCCTCTGTCTCATCATGTCCCTCGCCCGCCTCATCCTCCATGTTGCATTTCTCATCTTATGATCCTCCTCCTCACTTCCCCGTCCCTCCCCTGCCTTCCCGTATTCACGGCGCTCCCTGTCATCCTCCCCGCCCTCGCCGCTGGCCGTTCCTTCTTCGCCGTCGCCGCCTGTAAGAGAGCGACCACCTCCTCCACGAGGTCTGCCTGCAAGGAGGCGAGATGGGCAGGGGAAGGGGGATCGAGAGACTCGTCATCGTGCACGACCTCCTCCCTCCCTGCAATTCCAACGTTCCTCCTCCCTCATCCTTCTCCTCCTCCTTCTCCTCCACCTCCTCCGCCTCCTCCTCTTCCTCCTCCTCCTGCCCCTGGGGCGGAGAGGACACGTGAAGGAGGCGGAGGCGACAGGGGGGAAAAGTAATTAGAGGGGGGAAGCGTCAGCGGGGCAGGACACGGCAGGGCGAGGGCGAGGGAGAAGGAGAAGCCGAGAGCGGTGTGGCGGGGGAAGCTGGGGTGGAAGGCGGGGCGGGGGCCGAGGACCACGCGAGGACGCCCTCTCCGGATGCGGGAAGGATGAGGGCGGAAGACGTCGGAGGGGCAGTCAGGATGAGGATGCGGATGAGGAGGAGGAGGCGGCGGAGGAGGAGAAAGCTGATGATGATGCTGATGACGATGACGATGACGACGATGACGATGACGATGACGATGACGATGACGATGATGATGATGATGCTGCTGCTGATGATGATGATCATCATGATGATGGTGGTGGTGATGAGGGTGAGACTCTGCCGACACAATTGGTTAGTGATGAAACCCTCGCAGAAAACAGGCTAAACTGAGAGCGTTGGAAGTAAGGGGCAGGGCTTGCTGGGAGTGGACGGGCGGATGCACGAGGGGACAGAACGGTTGGTACGCGCGCGCGGGCTCTCTGCCGCGACGGCCCGCTCCACTGTGCGGCTCTGCGAGGGTCTGCAACCGAAGGCTCGGGAGCAACCTGCACGCTCACAAGCAATCTGCAAGCGGGTGCGAGGGAAGCTGCGCTCCAAAGGCCGTCGCTCCAACCGCCAGTCGCTCGAACCGCCAGCCAGCTCCGAAACGCGATAGCGGCACCGCACGTTCTCCTTGCTCCTCGTATCGCCTCCCTCCTCCTTCATCCCTTATCCCCTGCCTCCCTCTCGTCCGCCTGCTCCTGCTCCTCCCGAATTCCCCTGTGCCCCTTCATCCTCCCAGTCCTTCCCCCTTCCCTTCCCCGTCCACCACCTCTGCCACCTCCCCCTAGGAATCGTGCCCTCCCTGCACCGCATCCTTGTCCACCTCCACCACCTCGCCCTCATCCGCCTCAGGGAATCCGCCTCCCATCTCCCCTGTCCCCTCCTCCCTCCTCCCCCCCTCCGTCTCCAATGACAACCACTCCCACTCCACGAGCCCACGAGGCCTACGACTGCAACGTCGACCATGACGTCGACCACAATGACAACCAGGACGACGACCCCAACTCCCACGACGACCACCACCACCACCACCACCACGACGATCACGGCCACGACCACGAAGATGGCCGCGCGAGGCCGACCTCGACATATCCCGCGACCCTGGCCACAACCACGACTTCCACCACCACCACCACGACCACGACGGTCACGACAGCGAGTAGGTCGGGCATGTCCTCGTGCAGGCGGATTTGGAAGGAGAGTCAGAGAATGTCAAACAAAAACAAGGTATAGTCGGATCTGTTCCTATATTTTTACAGGCTCCTCCTGCAGAGAGGCATGTGAAGGGGCCCTGGGGCACACAAACAAATACACACCAATAACAGGATTCCCCATATGTTCCTAAATCTTCTGGGCTTCTGCCTTCCCCCCCACTTCCCATATTTTCCCATATGCTCCTGGGAGTCGACGATTCATTGTGTCTGGGTGCTCTTTCCCTCCTGAGAGGCATGCACGACTGCAGACCACGACCACGACGCCGCCCGCCGAGCCGGCCACGCGAGGCCGACCCCGACGCGTGGCCCGCGGCCTCGGCCTCGGCCGCAGCAGGCGGCAGGCGGGCGGGCCCGGGGCGCCCCCCTTCCCGCGCCTCGGCGGGCAGCGCCGCCGCCTCCCCGGCGCCCGGGTGCTCGCGCCGCTCGGGCTGCAGGGGCTCCAGCGCCCGCACGGCCGCCTCTCGCCGAGGGCGCGACGACGACGACGTCGGCGTCGGCGTCGCCGTCGCCGTCGTCGGCGTCGTCGTCGTCGTCGTCGCCGTCGCCGGCGTCGCCGGCGGCGTCGCCGTCGTCGGCGGGGGCGGCCCGAGGGCCACCGAGGGCGGCCCGGGGGCCGCCGCGGGCCAGGCAGCCGAGGGCCGAGCCGCGGGGCGCAGCCCACGGCGGCGGCGGGCGCCGCTGGGGGGGCCGCCTCCACCGCGCCCCTCGCGATCTCCACCCTGCGCGGCCAGCCTGGAACAGGTCCTTTATATCCCCTAGTGCCCCCAAGGGGGCGAAGAACGGCACGGCACACAAACTTGCCTTCGCGGTCCAGGGCGCCTGTCCCAGGGCGGCCGGAGCGCGTGTGCCCTTACGGTGGCACCGTAGGGGTATAAGCCTGGCACCGCAGGGGTACAGACTGTCCAGCCGCCCAGGGCCAGGCGTCCCCTACGGCGGAACAGGTTATGTTATGCCGTCCTTCGCCCGCCGAATGCTAGACATCGCCTCATCAAAACATGCCAACCTTCGGGGCGCCCTCAGTTTTTGAGGGCACATCCCCAAGGCTGTCATCGCCTGTTGGCGTGTTAATCTGAGGGGTAGGTCGGGCGTGTCCCCCTACAAGCGGATTTCGGGCGAAAAATCAAAACAAAAACAATGCCCCAACAAATGCTCAACGATCCTCAAAACATAGTCCCCCGACTATGTTCTGACTATCCTTGAACATTCCCCCTGTAGAGGGGCAGGCCCGACGTAACCTTAGGGATAAAGGGGTGCGTTCGAGGCTGGTGACCTGCAGCCGTCCAGCCGCGGGCCCGCGCCCGCGGCGCCGGGGCCGCCCGCGAAGAGGAGGTCGCGCACGCCCGCGCACTTGAAGAGCAGGCGCCTCTTCTCCTCCGACGGCAGCGGCGGCGGCGATGACGCCGACCGCTCGTTGCCGGCCTTGCGACCGCCCCCGAAACGGCCCCCGACGGCATCGGACGGGCCGGGAGCCCACCAGGACGGCCGAAGATGGCCCTATAAGATGGCCCAAGAGGCCCCCAAGGTTGCCCCCAGAGCGCCCAAGAGGCCTCCAAGATGGCCTCAGGACTGCCCAAGAGGCCCACAGGACGGCCCCAAGCGGGCTCAAAGACGGCCCAAAAGGCCTCTAAGACGCCCAAGGAAGCCTCCAAGACTGCCCTGGAGCACCCCCGGCTCGCCCGCCTCTCTTCTCGTCCGCCCCCGCGCACGACGAGGATGGACAAAATGGGGACAGCGTGCCAAGACGACGACAGGGGCGCCCGCGCAGAGCGAAGACGACAAACGACGAGCGCGACGAGCGACGAGCGCGACGACGAACGGCGAGCGACGACAACGAGCAACCCCAGTCGGGGATCTACTGACCCAGGTCAATCCAAACCCGGGTCAACCAAGCCCTGCGGGATAGGGCAAGGTCTTGCCAGATCCTGCAGGACCCCGCACCCAAACCCGGGTCAATGCTACCCTGGCTCTGAAGGATCCTGCACAACCCGGCGCTCCGGCTGACCCCGATTTGTGTTGACCCCCGTCTCTTACCGCTTGGCCCGGTGGTTTTCGGGACAGAATTCGACGCGCCCGCGGCCGTCAGGGACCATCCGGGCACCCCGGGAACGCCCTCGGCAGGGCACGGCCGCTGGGAAGCATCCTGAGGCCAGAGGACCGCCGAGAGCCTACGGATACGCCCGAAAACCTCGAACCTCGGCGCTCTGGCGGGCCCCCTTTGGCATTGACCCCCGTCTCGAGGCTCCCGACCCTAGCGTTCGGTGGCAGCGCACGGGAGCCTCCCATACCATCTTGTCGACTCTTGTGCATCGAAGCTCACTAATGGACGCTAGCTCGACGCAAATCGACGCTCAGTCGACGCTAATCGCCGCTAGCCGACGCTAAATCGGCGCTCTCTCATCGACTCCAGACGCTCATCGACACTAAACACTAAAGACGGAATTAGAAGTGTATACCAGGCTCCCATGATCTGCTCTGGAACCAGTCGGGGATCATTTGACCCAGGTCAATCCAGACCCGGGTCATTCAGGCCTTGCAGAGTCCTGCAGGATCCTGCATCCAAACCCGGGTCAATGCGGAGAATCCTGCGAGATGCTGCAGGATCCTGCACCCAAGCCCAGGACCATGCGACCCTGGCCCAGCAGGATCCAAGAGATCGGGCGCTCTGGCTGACCCCCCTTTGCATCGACCCCCGTCTCTCGTCGGCGGTGGACAAGCCTCCCTTTAGTAAACCTCCCCGTAGTGAAAACGGCCTGGGACCGAAACCGACGGACCTGGACCCGCACAAAGGACGGCCGCGACGCCCCCTCGCGAACCGAGAACGGCCAATTCCTTCATCGACGTGCCAGGGTGGGAGGTCTGTCCACCTCCGACTCTCGCGCCCCGAGCCCGCACGGCTCCTCCCGGTCCGGGCCCTCGCTCTGCTGCAGCCAGTGGGAGAGGGCGTCCACCGAGGCCGACAGCACCACGCCCTGAGGGGGCGGGCGGCGGGGCGCGCGCGCGCCGAGCGGGGCGTCGGGCCGTGGCCGGGAGGAGGAGGAGGAGGAGGAGGAGGAGGAGGAGGAGGAGGAGAAGGAGGAGGAGGAGGAGGAGGAGGAGGAGGAGGAGGAGGAGGAGGGAGGAGGAGCCCAGGGGCAACGCGCGCATCGAGAAATCTTGTAATATATGCGTCGCGGCGGGCGCCTTCCGGCCACACCGCGCCGAGCAGTGGTCGGGGATGGACAGAGACCCCCCTTTGGTAAAACGGTGTTCAGTGAACGCGGCCTCGGGCCCAAACCCGGCGGGCGCCAGCCTGGAAACTGACGGCCGCGGCGCCCTCCAACCGAAAACGGACAGTTCACTAATCGACGTGTCAGGGTAGGAGGTTTCTCCACCCCGAAATGGGGCGGAAGGAGGGCAAGGAACCTGCTGTAACGATAGCGATGATGACGATCCACGAAGACGACAACGATCAACGCATCGTTGTCGTTGCCTTCATCATTACCGTTGTGATCGTTGTGATCGTTATCGGTATCGTTAGCACAGGGGTCCTTGAGGCTACTCAGCGGTGTGGCACACGGGGCTCGGGCGAAACGATGCCTGTTCGTTTTCGTGGTCCTCCGCTCTGTCTCTTCGTTCTGCCTCTGCTGCGCAGCGAGATCAAAACCAAAACGGCCCACGAGACCGCCAAAGCACTGTTTAGCTCGAGACCTGATGGTACACAAAATCTGCCGATCCGTCGCAAGCTGCGCAGGCCTGGGGGCGAATCGCTCTAACGCAGCTACAACGCTAGGGTTGGAGAAAGGGGGCGAGGATTTGGAGGCATTGGTCGAGGGGCCAGGGAGGGGAAGGATGAGGATCAGACTGTCGTGGAGGGGACGGTGTCTCAGGGTATGGGAAAGGAAGGGGAGAAGGAGGATGAGGACGACGGGGGTGATTGAGGATAGGAGGGGACGGCGGATGAAGATGCGGAAGCCTGGGAGGAGGTAACGAGGAACACAGGAGGAAACAGCCGAGGGATAACAAGAGGGAGCGGAAGCGGATGAAGCGAATGCTTTGGGAAATGAAAAGAGAATGGGCAGCGGGAATACGTAACGGTTTGGAATTTGCAGTTCGCGCGTCGTGGCCAACCCATGGTTATCTTCATACACAAAGTCCGCAAGACGCACCAGAGAGAGAGCAAACATAATTGCCCACCGAGTGATTCCAGTGACTGTTTTGCCTGTCCAGTTCTTTGCTCCCAAGTTGCTCCCGAGATCGCTTCTAGACGAAGGAACCTGCCAAGAACCAGGAGCCCTGAGCTGGAATGCCTGCATGCATGGGAGCCGCCACACGCTGGCGCACAACGGATCGTCCTCCAGACCCACAGAAGCAGACTGCCGAGTACTGGCAGCAAGCCTGGGAAAAAACGAGTCGGCAATCCTGTGGAAACGACGCCGGCCAGGGCTGGGCGAACCCGACCAGGGCTGCACAGCGGACCCGAAAAGGGCTGGCGCGTGGTGGCCGAGGCCGAGCAGAACGTGCCGGGAACGGCCCAGGTGAGAGCGGTGAAGGCCGCGGAAGTGACTCCCGGCCGCCTCCTCTCCCTCCCCACGGCGCGCTGGCCACCACCTCCGCCGCCAGCAGGAGCTGGCCGGGCCGCTGACCCCCGCCTGCATACTCTTCCAGACCGGGGCTCGTCCGACTGCCAGCTCGCGGCGCGCAGGTCGGGACGATGAGGGAACCAGGCTGCATGCAAGATCTCATCCTCGCGCCCCCTCCCCCTGTCCTCGGGGGCGCTCGGCGGCGTTGCCGTCGCTTGGCACGAGGACGGCGGCGGCCCGTATCTATTAGCCGCGGCGCGGGTACGCATGGATGTACATCGCAACAGTAAAGGCATGGGCACGCATGGATGGTCTCAATCGGAAGCGAGTCTGTCAGAATTTGCAAAGAGATGCCACCATCGTTTCTAACCTGTTCTTTATGAGCACACGTACGAATGTTGCAAGAAATTACAATTTGACGAACGGTCGTGCACGCAAGCACGGCCAATTCATTCGCTGACACACTTTCACGACTAACCTATATACGTGCAGGCCTGATCTGTGAACAACTACAGATGTACGAAGATCATGATGGAGACGTCGGCTCAAGTCATATAGCTGTTCCCCGAAATACGCTGGTACTGGGACCCTGCACAATGCATACATGCGAACATGCGCACATCCATGAGACCGTGCGGAATTATCACGTGGGTCTCACAGGAACACGCGCACACGTATCGAAATATGCAAGCGTGCGTTCAGAGACGATGACCCTGTGACGAAGACTGCAATACGTGAATATTGTCCGCACTACGGCCTACCCTGCCATGGGCTGCCTGAGCGATCGTGGCCCGTGCAATATTGAACCAAACGTACGCATGCTTGTGCAACCCATCTTCTTCCACCAACATCAACAGACAATAAGGAAGATCCCGTCCGACCGTCATTTGAAGGCAGAGGCGATCCAAGACAATGATTGGACGAGGCACCATGTTGCAACGGCCAGGTCGGGGAAGAGCTATCTCAGCCAGAACTGAATTAAGGGGCATGCTGGATTCATGCTGGATTTCTCTAGGGTATCCTGCCCGCCTCGCGGCGGCTCTCGAAGAAAGTCCCCAGGACTGGCAGGGCGACTCAGAGGGCCCCTCGCCTGAGCTAGCGAAGGCAAGGGCCTGCTTCTTGATAAGACAACGAATGCACAACTTCCAGCTGTTCGCGCACGCGCTGCGGCAGTCACGCACGCGACTCAGTTGCTCCGGCGTGCTCAGCAAGAGCAGCCAGTTGGGCTCAGCAGCCCGCCAGGAAAGTGCAGCGTTCGATCCTCCTGTTGTCAAGCCGTACGAAAGAACATGATAGGAGCATGCAGTCGGAGGCTGTCAGCAAGAAAAGCATAGCTTGGATTTCGGCCTGCGTGTGTGCCCTGCCGCTGTGCGCGGGGGCGCGAAGAGGAGAGTCCTTAGCAAAAGGAGGGCCTGCTGCAAGAGACACTCGCCAATGTGGCGCCCCCTCCTCCTCCTCCTCCTCCTCCTCCTCCTCCTCCTCTTCCTCCTCCTCCTCCTCCTCCTCCTCCTCCTCCTCCTCCTCTTCCTCCTCCTCTTCCTCCTCCTTTTCCTCCTCCTCCTTCTCCTCCTCCTCCTCCTCCTCCTCCTCCTCCTCCTCCTCCTCCTCCTCCTCCTCCTCCTCCTCCTCCTCCCCCTCCCCCTCCCCCTCCCCCTCCCCCTCCCCCCCCCTCCCCCTCCCCCTCCCCCTCCCCCCCTCCCCCCCCCTCCCCCTCCCCCTCCCCCTCCCCTCCCCCTCCCCTCTCCCCCTCCCCCTCCCCCTCCCCCTCCCCCTCCCCCTCCCCCTCCCCCTCCCCCTCCCCCTCCCCCTCCCCCTCCCCCTCCCCCTCCCCTCCCCCTCCTCCTCCTCCTCCTCCTCCTCCTCCTCCTCCTCCTCCTCCTCCTCCTCCTCCTCCTCCTGCTCCTGCTCCTGCTCCTCCTCCTCCTCCTCCTCCTCCTCCTCCTCCTCCTCCTCCTCCTCCCTCTTCCTTCCTTCTCGCGCCTGGGCGGCGTCCTCCCTCGCTCCTTCCTCCCTCTCCACCTGGCATTCAAGAGCTCAGAAATCGCATGTCGTTGCACGGCCTCCGGGAAGACCGACGTTCCAGGACCCCTCGCCTCAGGAAACCGCTCCTTCAAGGCACACGCAGGGGGCGCGTGGCGGGGGCGCCCTGTGGAGGCCTATCCCTTTCTCTTCATCGCTGTCCTACATTAATGTCCATTCCTCTCCTCGTACTTGTCCACATCCTGTCCCGCAATCCTTGCCCAACCTTTCGTATTCATCCTCCCTGCTCCTCCTACCCCCCACCTCCTTCTCCCCTTTTTCCGTGCATTCTCTCCTGATTCCCCCTCTGTGACATTCCTATATGATTGGTCCGTCTCCGTCCCCTCCCCCTCCCCGTCCCCCTCCCCCTTCCGCCCCCTCCCCTTCCCCTTCCCCATCCTCTCCCCCTCTTTCCTCCAACTTTCCCTGCCACTACCCTCTTCCTCCTCCCTCCTCCCTCCTCATTTCTCTTCACCCCCTCCCTCCTCCCCCTCCTCCTCCCTCCCCATTTCCATCCCCTCCTCCCATCCTTCTCCTCCTTTTTCCCCCTCCTTCTTCTCCGCATCACTATCGCATCAACAGCAGCATCATCATCACCACAATCACCATCAACATCACCATACCCAATACCATCACAATCATCAGCATCATCATAGTCATCATCATCATCGTCGACATCATTTCCCACCACTTTCTGAGACCATTTTCTTCGTCCCCCCCTCCCCCACCCATCGCCGTTTCGCAACTCATCCTCCATCCTCTTTTACGTGTTTTTCCCTGTCGCCCCCCTCAACGATTCGGTGGGGCGGGCTGTGCATTTCGCCCCAGACTCCCTAACGATTTATGCTTCTGAAATGTTATTCATCCAACAGCTTCAAAGATGGCGGGCAGGTTGCGGTCAGTGATGCTCGCTTTAGCGCCGCGCGCATTCTTGACACAGCTTGCAGGTTCAAGCGGCGCAATTTAAAGAAACACGCAAGACATCGAGTAAGCCTTGCCGGGACAAGCGGACCCGCGGGGCCCTGGGCGGGACACTCTTCTCGCGGAACGCGGCGGCGGTGCGCGCCGTCCTCTCTGCGCCAGCGCCCGGGCCCCTGTGGCCTCAGGCGCTGACCAGGTCAGCGCTTGCCCCCCCCCTCCCGCTTCGTGCACTGAAAGCCCCACGCGGGCTCGCGATCATCCTCACGACACGGCAACCGCTCGGCGGCGGCGGCGGGGAAGCCGCGGCAACTGGCCGCGGGTGGCGACCTCCGGGCGGCGGCGCCTGCGGGCCGGCGAAGGCCGCGGGCGGGGGGGGGGCAGGATGTTCGCGGGCGAAGCCTCCTCAAGTGAGCCTCACACCGGCCCACTATAGGGTCCGTGCTGGCGTGCCTCCTCAGCCACTCCCGAGCCCCCACCCCCGGGGCGCGGGCGTCGGGCGGCAGCCCAGCGGCGGCGGCGCTTCCTCCAGCGCCCGCCGCGCAGCGGCTCCGGCACCGCCCAGTGGGCGGCTGGCGTCATGGGCTACCGGCGGGCCGCGGCGCGAGCTCATAGGCAGCTGCAGCGCTCAGCTCAGCGGGCCCTGGGTGACTGGCGGCCCGCGGCGCTGTCTGGGCGCCCTCCATCTCGAAGCGGACGCTCGCCACTCCCTCTCGAGATCACTCGGATTTCTTCTTTCGCCATGGGGGGCGATGGGGCTGGCGAGCTATGGCGGACCGGGGGCGCGGGAAGTGTGCGCCCCTTCCCACCAGGGAAACCAGGTCGTCGAACTCCGCGAAGCCAGCCTGGTGCGGCCAAATGATCGTCGCCAGCGCGCCACTCTCCCAGGCCACGAGGGACACGGCGTCCAAGCAGACCTCCTGCCCTTCCATGGTCCTCGAATGCGGGGTTCCCGCGTGCGCTCCAGCGGCGGCCCCCGCGGCAGCGGCGGGCGGTGGCGGGGCGTCGGGCGCCGGGGCGGCGCCGGCCGCGGGGCGGGTGCCGGCGACGGGGCCGTCCCCCGCGCCCTGGCCCAGCGGCGTGGGCAGCGCCGGCCGCCGCGCCCGCGCTCCAGCGCCGAGCGGCGGCGAGCGCCAGGACGGCCAGCCAGGCGGCGATCACCATGGGTGAGGCACCCCGCAAGAGCCCCCCCTCCCGTCGAAGAAGGGACAGTCCCATTACCATTACCATTACCATTGCCATCGCCGTTGCCGTTGCCATTGCCATTGCCAATCGCTACCCCGTTACCATTGCCATAACCATTACCATTACCGTTATCGTCACCATTACCATTCCCAGTACCATTATCATTACCACTGTCATTGCCATTACCATTACCATTGCCATTGCCATTGCCATTCGCCACTACCATTACCATTGCCATTCGCCACTACCATTACCATTACCATTGCCCTTCACCATTACCATTGCCAGTACCATTACCATTCCGATTCACATTCCCATTCCCAATACCATTACCATTACCATTACAACTGCCATTGCCATTACCATTATCATTACCTTTACCTCTACCTTTACATTTACCCTTACCCTTACCATTCCCATTTCCGTTACCACTACCACTGCCATTTCCATGCCCGTTCCCATTCCCATTCACATTCCCATTCCCGTTCCCATTCCCATTCACATTACCATTGCCATTACCATTACCATTGCCATTGCAATTGCCATTGCCATTCCCATTGCCATTGCCAGTGCCATTGCCATTACCATTACCGTTGCCATTGTCATTGTCATTGCCATTGCCAGTCGCCACCCCGTTACCACTATCATTACCGTTACCATTACCAGTACCATTACCATTACCTCTGTCATTACCATTACCATTCGCATTGCCATTGCCATTGCCATTAGCCACTACCATTACCATTGCCAGTACCATTTCCATTGCCATTCCCATTCTCATGACCATTACCATTGCCATTACCACCACCATTATCACTATCATTCCCATTACCATTACCATTACCTTTACCTCTACCTTTACCTTTACCCTTACCCTTATCATTCTCATTTCCGTTACCACTACCACTACAATTTCCATTCCCGGTTCCGTTCCTATTCCCATTCACATTCCCATTCCCGTTCCCATTCCCATTACCATTGCCATTATCATTACACTTATCATTGCCGTTGCCATTGACATGGCCATTATCATTGTCATTGCCATTGCCAATCCCATTGCCATTGTCATTACCATTACCGTTGCCATTGTCATTGCCATTGCCAATCGCTACCCCCTTACC